TTTTTAAATATTCAGAATGATGGGCAAATGTATAAAACAAACAGCAGTGATGTTTTTGTCGATTTCATCAGCAGAATACAGTTAAAAATGTAAACTATCCAAACATTGAGTTGATCACTGTATAAATTTTAACACTAGTTTGTAGTTTTTTTAACAGTGAGCTGCAAATATGAATTCCTTTTATCGTATTCTAGTTCAGAGAAGAAATATAAGTTTATTAAGATTTGATTGTTGATTGACGATTCGCAGAATGACTATAAAACTCTATAGCTTTAGAAGAATCTTTTTTCAAACTTTTTGTTTTTTTTTTTTTTCGTGTAAACATAACAATAAATTACGGAGGTGTATTCGGGTGATTCATTAAATTTGTTTTCTGTTTAAGAAAAAAAAAGTAGACGGTCCAAAACAACAAAAACAATAACAATAAAAAAAAGGTTGAATAAAGAGCGCAGTTTACAAAACCGATTAATTTCCACTTTGCTCCTTATTGTTTTACTTGGGGAAGGAAAAAAAATCTTATTACCAAAGGAAAAAAATAGATGTGATGAAAAAGTACACAATTCACAAAAAAAAAAAACAAAAACAAAAACAAAAAAACTGGAGAGTAGAAAAGAGTAGGAAGTTGAAAGGAAAGAGTAAAAGGTAAGTGAAAATAAGGTGAGAAAATTTTTTGGTTTTTTTTTGCTCAAAAAATTCCTAAAGTTTGTGATAATTTTTGAACAAAGCAAAAAAAAAAGTCATTTCTCAAGCAAAACGCAATTTATGTTGAATTTTGATCAGTTTAAACCTTTCTTCCCTTAGTTTTTTTATTTTCTTCCTAAGCGACCAACGTGTCGTTACAGGGTATCACATTGACGAGGCACTCATAAGAATCCGTTTGATCAGCTCATCATAGGAACTATAATGCAGCTGGTCCGCTTTAAATTGACAACTCTGTTCTGTAGTAATAATAGTCCAAAAGATATCTCAACAAATATTTGACAAAAAAAAAAAAAAAATTTTTTTCTGTTTTTGCAATCTAATATCTTTTAAAACAACAACAATAAAACTGTTAATTTTGTTACACATTTGATTGTGGTAAGATTTCTTTTAAAAATTTGTTTCTTACTTGGTTAGTTCTCAAATTTATTATTCACTACATTTGCTAATTGTTTTCAAGTGAAACTGCCATTTAGTTACACTAACTTTCTTTGACTGTTCCAAATTTTCACTTCAATTTTGACAACAGCAAAAATTTTTTCATTAACGAGTGAATTTAGGCAAATAAGACAATTTTTGATGAATAATTATAAAAAAGAAAAAAAAAAAAGGAAATAGATTGTTAACAACTTGCATAGTATCTTCGAAAAGTTTATTTTAAGGTTTCGATAAAACTGTGTTACATTTCAATCCCTCAAAATACATTTTTCGTCTGCTATACAACTGCTATTCCAACACATTTAAAGAAAAAAAAAAGGATGGAACTGAGCAAATAAGCAACCTGTATCCTATTTATCTATTTAAACATACTTTTATAAGACTGTAAACAGTAGTTGAAGCGCTAACAGCAGTTGTACAGCTTCATTCTTGTATCTGTTGCTGTTGATAATGTATTTTTCATCGATATTGACTATAAGATTTCTTGGTTGCTTCAAAGAACCAAACTATCATATTACTAATGATACTTTGATTTTATAATCATTGTAATTCAGTTTTGGCATAACCCCGTAACTGCTGCATTATCAGCGGATTTGTTCGCTTAAACGTTCTAGAATTTTGCAGTCAAAAACTTTTTTAAAAACTAACTCAGAGTCCAAATATTAAGTCCATCCAACAATCAACAAATTACTGCCAGTAACAGTAAGAAGAGGAATGAAAAAATGAATTTATATACATACTATTATTAATACTAATACCCAGCTATAATATTCGTCATTTATAGTCAGGAAAGTACATATATTTCTTATTGACAACCAAAAACATGAAATTTTTGACAAAATGTTTGTTTTATCAGAAAAACTGTCAATTCCATAAAACAATGTTGTCTTATGATCAATACTTTCTGAAACAGTACTGCAGGATCTGCAAATGAAATAAACATTGATGGTAATACGATATCGAACACATAGAAAGCCTTATTTTGGCTTCTATTTTTTACTAATTCCACTAACCATACCAGAAAAAGAGAAGAAAAAGGGCACACTTCACGCTTAATTTTCATTTGTTCATTAGTGAGAAAAATCAAAGAAACGAATAAATAATCGATTATAAAAGAGTAAAAGTAGAACTGTACATTGTATAACACTTAAAATAATTCTTTCACTTAAGCCTTCCAATTTTTCACTGAAAAAACCGGCATTTTATTTGCAAAAAAAATTGAAAAAAAAAATTATCGATCAAAAATTTAATTCTAAATAACAAACACTTGAGTATTTAAGTTTCATTCCCTTCAGTGAACATTACGACTGTAAACATTTCGTATTTACAAGAATACTTTCTGTTCTTAACAGCATTTCCAGCAGTTTTTTTTTCTTTCTTAGACAGTACCATATTGTTGATACAAAATTTATGTTTCTGTCAACATCGAGCCATAAGCATAACAACATAAATCAATATAAGGCATTTCAGTGAGAAATAAAATTATCAAAATAACTGTCTGATTAGGAAAGAATAATGACATCAAAAAAAAAAATTTGGAGATCCAAGCGATATAAACAAAGCAAAAAAAAGAAAACAGGAAAGAAAATAAACTTTTAAATCTAAAATGAGATTTTTTAGTCTATCATCTTCTACTGAAACTAGCCAATTATTAATTAGATAACAATAAGTTTTTCAATGAATAAAGTGAATTGCGCAGAATAAACTGTATATGACAACTAAAAAAAAAGCCAAGGAAACAACCATAGTGACGTCATAATTAGTATCTAAGTGTAAGAAGGAAGTTTCATGGTGTCCGTTGTGGTCACCATTACGTGCTCCTGAATCGCAGTTGTTTTTTTCGAATTTCAACCGGATAAAAAAACTGTCATAAAATTATCATTAGTTCCAAATACGAATAACAACCTAAGAATTTTTTAACTCTATACAGACTGAAACTTCCACCTCAGCCAGAAGACATCAAAATGCTCAGAAAAAAGATAACATGAGTTGACAACAAGCATGACAGAGAAATGAAATTGAACAAGAAGGTACGGCAAAAGATAAAAAACTTTTTATAATTTTCGGCCGATAACTATGTATCAACAAGCTGAACGCATCCAAACAGCTTTAGTCCTACGTCAGTAAGTAATAACAGGCCGAAGACAGCTCCATTATACTTCAAAAAACAACTCAGTTATTGAAGCGAGAAGTCCTTACAACACTCATCAGCTTCAAAGATGTTGAAGATTGCAGCCATTTCGAAATTTAGGTTCATATCCCAGGTAGCTTTCTAAACAGTCGATTTAATAAAGCTAAACAAAGAGAGCAATAAAATCAAGCAAGTTTTTCAGTATCTGACTGTTCTGAGTAAAGTAACCAATAACAGTACCTGAATCTTCGGTAACAAAAGCATAATATTGGTAATTCGGTTCACTGCTTCCAGACCGATTATGCCTTGTGCCTGATAGAATTTATATAAATTTCCAATGATGATATCCCGAGTTTTCCAAACGAGTTCACGAAGAGATGGCCGGGAAAATTGTAGAGCTGAAGCAAACATTCAAATAAGCTTCTCGCAACTGACGAACACAACACAAGTTTTTTGAGAGAAATATGCCTTTCTATAGGTTCTTCCGCATTGTTAAGAGTGGTTTTTTTATGAAACAGTTCAAAACTGCCAAGGCGAAACTGGAACATAGAAAACACTAAAAAAAGACAAACAGTCATTCCATAGCAGCATTCCAGTAAGTGCTAGAAATTCCGCTTCAACCATTTTGATTCGTCTCATATGTGATACAACAACTTCCAAAATGTAACGCTGCGCAGGAAGAAATATCCTAAATACGTTTAATTTCAGGGGCAGCAGTCGATATTCTTATTATGTTCGCCTCCTTTTTTTAATTGCACATCCTGTAGAATAAAAATTTTAGCCTTAAAATATGTAGAAAGGACCTGGCAGCATCCTTTGGATCGGCTGTACATTTAACAGTATTCTCGTAAAACTTTTCCAATTCACTTAATTTAATAAAACCACCTTCATGCATCAGAATGCGGTCGTCTTCGTCATCATCTTTTCCAAATGTTTCATAAGTCGCAAACGATCTTGCAGCATATGCAAAATAACTGTAGAAGTTTTTGAAAACGGTTATCTAAAATATAAAATACTAATAAAAAGTCACTTGTAGCAGTAAAAATTGTGAAAAGTAGAAATTAAAAAATAGTTTAAAACAGACTATACAAAATTCCACTTTTATGAGTGAAAAATAAACAAACCGAACTTTATCTGAAACAGGTAATTCATTGAATGGAGGAAAATATTCGTTTACAATATCCGTCAGTATATGCGACTCCATCTTACAACACCTTTTGGCTTCATCATAATTTGTCATTTGTGGTTCCTGAAATTTAAGCAAAGTCATCTTTGCAAATGAACAACGCCAGTTTTATTATAAAATTTGACTAAAAACGAAGAAAAGTATTTAAGAGGAAAATAAGACAAACATCACTTGCCATCAATATCTAAAATATGTTCTGCATTTCTACTTATCCTATTTTTACTGTAAATCTAGTAGAAATTAGCTTTTATAAACTCAGAAAATGAAAAAATTTATTTCTCACTTTTCCTCTCATCTCCTAATTACCTGCTATATGCCTATCTTTATTGTCTAATTAATCTAAAACTCACATCATATACTACCATTCAAGATTAACCATCAGTATACGTACCTGTAATGTAAAAATTATTTCTCAGTTGTGTACTATTCTTGCTAGTAATGACAGTAGTGATTGATACCATTTAAGTATTACTGCCTATTAAAAAGCTTTTAGTACGCTACAATTATCAATTCCAAAAATTGCTGTTTCTCATGGTACTTCCTTTGATCATTTTTTCAAGTCTCATTCCTAACTAATTCTTACATGCAAATTCAACACTACTTTTTCCGTCTAATAAAGCTTTAAAAACACTTACTTGATTTTTATGTAACGTTTATCTTGAAACTTCAAATTCACTTTAAAGAAAATAAAACATCTCATTGCAGCACATGAACGTCAAATAAATGACTTTCCACAAAAATAAATAGTTGCATTACACATTTACACCAAAAACTTAAAATGAAATAGTAAAATTTACGCACTTTCCAAAAGTTTATAAACATGCGCTTGACGTAAGAGAAAAAACTACGTAAAATTTATAAAACGTATAAAACAATTAGTATAAAAAACTATCAAAATTCCTGTTGGAAATGCTGTCACCAGCCTTACACCTAAACCTGCACATTTAGAAGTGTCACTGACAAGACTGTACTGTTGACCTTACTTCGAATTTCAAAATACGATAAGTCTAGAAAGCAGTTACAAGAAAGAAAAGATAAAGAGCACTCTTTAACAGTATGACAAGTATTCCTCATTTGCAGGAGCGTTTATGGAATTATAGAACCTCCTTGCAAGAAAGAAAGAAAAAGAGATAAATTTTCAATAGTAAGTTATAAAAGAAACTGCAAAAGCTACAACTCCTAAAGAACTGCAGGAATGTAATATTACTGTAAAAATTTTCAAGAAACAAATATTAACCCCAGTAGAGCAAAATGCGTTGAAAACATTGCCACCGCCGTTTAATGACTGTGTTGCACGACGAATAGCTAAAAAGTGATGGTAACCCTCAGACATTTTGCACAAATAAGCTAATTCACTTTCATCTACATGATGTGCAGGGCATAATTCCTGTAATAAATTTTATTAAAAACCTTAACTTGTATAGTCTAAAATTTCAGGCGTGAAAAGTTTAACGGTAATTGCTGTTTTGTGAACTTTAGGAGCACCCATCGATTGAATTGGTAGAATAGTAGATGTCTTACTGCGAGAGACAGCTTAGTTGGATAATGTGGTCTTTCATCGTTGGGGAATATCTGATCAGCATGCCTAGTCAAATTTATATATTCTCCATCGGACGGTTTCTTCATGTGGCTTCGTTCTTTTCGATTTTTAGTAACATTAGTGTGCTTACCGATACCGTCACGCGGAAGTTGCACAGCTAATTAAAGTAAACTGTCACTTAACAGTCAAAAACTTTTCATATCTATAGATAATAAAATTGAAATTTTCTTATTGCCTGATAACGCTGAGTACCAAATAAATTTACTCTTTTACAAATTTCCAATTATTATGACGAAATAGTCTAAAGTAAGGTACTTTAATGGTCGAAGCCTTGACGTTCTAGTCTGTAGTTTTTATTCTCTTCATATTTGTTTTACAATTGTATTTTCTTCATCGGTACTCTTTTATAGCGTTTTTTTTTGTTGCAGAAGGTTAACCGGTA